TACCATATTGAAAAATATACTATTTTTGTATGATAATTATGGGTTTTGTATTTTATTTTAATAGAAGTTGATGTTGCTTTTGCAATTATCCATCAATTTTTTAAAATTAAACACTATCTACAGATTTGCATCGAAGCGTTTCTTATGATAGTGATTTTAATCACTGTCAGATTAAATCTATACTGGACCCTACTATGCAATGTCTCCACTATGCCGCGACCCCACTGTGCTACCGTTTTTTTTTTTTAACAACTATATATCATAAAAACATATCGTATAAAAATTTGAAAACAATTTTTGATTTTTTTAACAATAGTACTTTTGGCCGCCTAATTTTGATTTTTAAACCATTATGTGACAATAGCTTGTAAAAACACTTGCGCCATTACATCCGAGAGTTTAATTTATATACCTGTAAGTCAGTTTTTAATCAGCTAATTTTTATTATATTATGTTTTTTATTTTTTTTTTAAGTAAAAATTGACTAATGATAATTGTAAACAATTTCTATGTCTTTCTTTTTTTAGGAAATATTAAGACTTATTTCGTTATTTGGAAAGCGCATGTGATATTTAAAAATATTTTTAAAGAAACAACACAGAATATATTTTTATATAGTCTGTGGAAACACTGTAAAATTGATAAGAATCAATTTACTTGTCTAGGGGGTTACGACTAGTTTTTGGTTTGTGACTCATACAAAACGTATTAGATTATTTTTATCAATTCTTTTAGTTTTTGCATAGTTTTTAACGACGTTAAACAATAAAATTATCAATTATTAAATTATAATAATTAACAATTAGTTAACTATACTTATGATCCATACTAAATAAGAGTTTTAATTCATCCTAAAACTAGGTTCAACACGAATACAGAACTTCTTGGACACATTCTTAATGAGACGTCTTAGAAAAGTGATTTTAATCACTGGTAAATTTAAATCTAAACAGGTTTCCCATTTTCCCGGTATCTTTCATACTTACAACTAAAGTAGAAACTTAAGGGGTGCTGTTACTATTTTTTCACCCCAAAATATATTTTATATAAGAACACATATATATCTTAAATATCTACAATTTATTTTAGGTCAATGTCCCATAGCCTCTAGTTATGTTTTTACATCTAAATGTACTAAATTTTTGGATTTATCATATCTCATTTGCGTTTTTATCCACAAAAAAATATTGATTACATAAATTATAATGCACGAGAAATTTAATGTTTTTTAAAAAAAAGAAATGCAGTTATTTTTATAAATATTATTTGACTATGTGAAATAAAAATAAAACAATTCTTTTCTTAGATTAAAGATACCACTAAAATTATCACAATTCAATAGCCTTGTAAAATAACTGTGAATGTATCAAATTATTTAAGATACATATAACAAATGACTTTTTTACAGCAAATTTTAAAACTCGTACATGCAACATTTCTTTCTGAACATGTTAGCATAGTACAGCCAGTTTTTTTTTACATTTGTAAATTTATAGCGCGTACTAGTGACATAACTGTCTCGATATATCAAACTATGTACAGCCCGCTATTTTTATATTATAAGATTAAAGTCATCGTTTGTTTTGAAAGTGTAATATAAACTAAAACAAACTTTCATATATCAATATGACTTTTTATAGGCAGTTCTCAAAATCAAATTCATATGTATATATACAGAGTTTTCAGTAAATAAGGAAACAAGCCAATTGTTCCAACAATGAGAACAATATAAAGCCGTTCGCTTACTTACTGAAAACTCTATATATAATACAATATACAAAATATAATATATATATATTTGTATATAAAGGTTATGATAAAAAAAGAGGTATCTATAATTAAAGAACCAANTTAATTAATGTACATCACTATTTTTATCTAAGATATCAAATCTCGTATATAATAATGTGTGTATTCAATATTTTTTATATTGGATAGAAAGTCTAAAGTAGTCTAAACTGTAGTGAAGTATATCCCAAAAATCTAATACATACAGTTGTATAGGCGCAACTAGTAGCTATTAGATGTTGACCTCACCAAAAATGTAGAATTTATGTGATCTTATATAAAAATATTCTTTAGGGTGAGAAAATAATAATAACATCAACTGAAATTTTATTCTAGATGTGCCTATAGAAAAGTTTCAGGGAAATGATAAAACAAATTAGATTTAAATTTAACAGCGATATAAATCACTATTGTAATACGTTTCAATACAAATTGCNACTATTGTAATACGTTTCTATACAAATTGCGTCACCGTTTAAAATTTAACGTATATTCCATGAAACATTGAATACTAGCTAATATAATTAATTAATTCGTATGAACCAGAAGAAAAAATTAAAAAGTATAAAATAACTCAAATTTACTATAAAGTGACAATGTGTATTAAAAGTCATTTGTTTTTATATTAATTGTAATTTTGAATAAACAAGAATACTAGCNTTGTAATTTTGAATACACAAGAATACTAGCAAGTAGTTATGTTGTAAAAATTATTGATATTAGATAGCTAAGGAAATATTTTAAAACTAATGTAATCAAATGCCTGTCCTTTTACTATTTTCTTCAGTGACATTTTTATTGATACAGAATAATATAATTAAAAGAAAATATATTATACATGTACATTAAATCGGAAGTTTAAAAATGTAATGTTTTATATTGAATAAACGAATAAAGTTATGTTAAAAATTGAAATGTCATAATATTAAAATAAAACTGCAAACATTTCATTTAATTCAAAATTGGTATTCTCATTAGAAAAAAAATATTTTTNTAAAAATTGGTGTTCTCATTTGAAAAAAAATATTGACATACATACAAGGCATTCGAGATGAACTTAAAAATTGATACATAGCTAATAATTCTAGAGTTTAAATATAAAATTATTAAAAAAAATCTTGGATAATTCTATCAGCCAAATTCAATTATTAAATCTAGCCTTCATTTGATATAATATTTCTTATAACTTTTCTGAATTACATTCAATTAACTTAAGAATATATTAAATAGTTTATCATAATAAAAAAAACAAAATGATAAATTTATTATAATTAAAAGTATACAGAAAAAATATTCAGCTATAGATTATTAAAGTAATATATGTATCTAATAAATGCTAAAAGTTAACTATCGATATTTTTTCAAAGAGAAATAGAATGGCCAACGTTAAATCTGATAGATCATTTATCGATTTATAAAACATTTTTGGAAGAAAAATAGTAAGCCATTACATAAAGTACCAATTGTCTTATGAAAAAATTCATATTATAATATTGGGTACGTATCAGATTTTGGATAATATCACAAAAATTAATCACTAAAACTAATAATTTACCAATGTTCAAACTTTTTNATACTAATAATTTAGCAATGTCCAAACTATTTATTTAAATACTAAAATAAAAAAAATTAATTGTATCTCATTGAATATATACATAATTTTCCAACTGTCTTTAATTAAAAAATAATAATATTTTATAATACAGTTTAATGATTACTATTTAAAAATAGATTTCTATATTATTCTTTACCCTCTTCGTAAATTATTATTGTTAGTCATCATAACTATTGGTACTAATATGCAAATAAAGTATATAATATAATTAGGGAATATAACAAATAAAATATTATTTCATTTTGATGAACGGTTGTTAAAATATACATGATAAATAAACAGCAATTATTTAATAATTTAACCAATGTAATTTTACATTAATAAAATGTTATATTTATTTAATGACATTTTTTCTGGATAAAGTTTAATTATAAAATAAAAAAATTACCTTGATAAATATCTGTATTTTTGGTAATTTAGATATTTTGGAATATTTGAATAAATATATTTACGACTGGGATAAATTTGAAAGTTAAACAACAAACAATATTTATCGTACTGCATTTTATAACTATTGAAAATTGTATTGAATTTTATTAAAACACATTGTATCGACATATATGACTTAACGTACATTCCATCAAATATTGATTACTTGCTAATAAAAATAATCATTAATAATATAATTAATTAATCTATATAACGAGAAAAAAGATAAATAATTTTACTAAAAAGTATAAAATATCTCAAATTTACTNATTAATTTTACTAAAAAGTATAAAATATCTCAAATTTACTAAGTAATTGTCTGTTTTTTTAAAAGTCATTTGTTTCTATGACAACTGTAACTTTGAATAATCAAAAATACTTTACAGAATACTATTACAGAAATTACTAATTATAATATATAAAAATTTACATCAATTGGATAAAAAGCAATAGTGGTTTATAAATTATACCTTTTGCTTCATTGAAATCTCTATCAGCTTTATTTTCTATTTCTCTTTTAAGTACAATACGAATACTCTTGAAACATTGTTTAATGGCTTCACAGTTTTTAAATTTACAATTCTATCTAGTATTACTAATTAGCCCATAGTTTTTGTTTTTTATCCAAATTTTTTTTGCAATTCTATTAATGGACAATTCTTTGGGGAAGAGAAAAATTAACACATATACATTTAATTATGTTAAAAAAACTTAGAGTTTCCTAAAAAATTTTTATTGTTACAAAATATAATATTAATATTTTAAGAAAATAAACATATTTTATTAATATTGGTTTTTACTTTAAAATTTTTTCACAAATCTGCAACAACAAATCNTTTATTCTAATTTTTGATTGACTCCATTATATTTCCAGAAATGATGTTAGAAAAATCATAGATTTGTAAAATTATTTGAGCTTTAGTGTTTAATTTACAAGTTTTAAAATAATATAAAACATTTGTTCTTCTATATAACATCTAAAAATAATGCAAAAGTTTTATAGTAATATTAGTGTTTATTAATCTTTAAATTTATTACCTTGCTTCATTAAACATTATACTAAAAATCTGTGTACTAATTTCTTCTATAAATGAATCTCTTGAGCCTTTTGTACATATTTTAATTATTTCATTTTGAATATGCTGACTAGTGTGATTTGTTTCTTTGTTGAATATTTCAGAAAACTTAGGTTTATGCTTGGAAATAAAACACAAGTTTTGTTGAAATTTCCCAAGAAAAATTATTTATTAAGAGATTAATAATTATATCTTCTCAGTTTTAATTACTTATTATTAGGTGATTTGATTACTTAAATTAGTTCCCTATCTTGATTTAATGATGAATTATTTTAGTTGTGTCAGACCATTCTTTGGATACTCAATATATTGTTATATCAATTAAACTTTTGTTATATTCCCTATTAGTGATAACTTCTAGTTTAGATTGAGTTACTAGTTGGGTATGAACAGTGTCAGTTATTTTTACAGTTACTTTATAATGTCCTGTCCATTTAGCAATATGAGTTAAATGAGTTTATGTACTAAAATGAGCATCAAGCTTTGTTAGTTTTCCATTTTTAAGACCTCTAGATCCACATAACTAATAAATATAAAAAACAAATAATTAAAGTTAAATTTTGAACAATAATTATTCCATACACAAAAATATTTATGCAATGAATACATTGATTTAATGATGAGTTATTTTTATTGTGTTGGTCCATTANTTGAACAATAATTATTCCATACACAAAAATATTTATGCAATGAATACATTGATTTAATGATGAATTATTTTTATTGTGTTGGGCCATTCTTTTGATACTCAATAAATTGTTATGTTAATTAGACTTTTCATATATTCCCTATAAGCTTCAACTTCTAGTTTAGATTGAATTATTATCTGGGTATGAACAGTGTCAGTTTTTTAACAGTTATTTATGAGTTTTTGTACTAGAATGAGCATCATGCTTTGCTAGTTTTCCATTTTTAAGACCTCTAGATCCACATAACTAATAAATATAAAAACAAATAATTAAAGTTAATTTTTGAACAATAATTATGCCATACACAAAAATATTCAACCTACTAAAATGAAGGATTGAAGCCATGGTTTTGTTATTGGAATTAGCTAAATATAATTCATTAGCTATTAATAATAGGCTTAATAGCAATTAAAATATATATTTAATATACAATATAATTACTATGCTGTTAGTTTTATACATGATTTACCACTAATATGAATCTTTTTGGACCAGACTGTAAATCAACTAAATCAAATTCCGAGTTGCCTGTATATTATGTAATATGGTTTTTAATTATTTCTTACTTGATTAGAGTCACCGCTGTTTCAGAATTTTTTGGATTAAAGATAACAAATAATTTTGAAATCGTTATTTAATCAACAAATTAATATAAATATAAAAAAAAATAACAGTTCTGCTACAATACAGATTTATTTCTCCAAGTAGAGAAGGTGCAAATTAACAATGATAACGAACAGATAGTATTCCATAGCTAAATATAGAATTTGTTTAAATAGTGTACATGATATTATTAAAGTCAATATATTGCACAAGCCAAAGAATGTTAACATTAGCATTATCTATGTTACCTCTACCACAGATTACATAAATGATATACTATTAATATTTTGTAGCGTATAGTTGCTGATATTTTGAAATGGTAAATTCGTTTGACAATGATATAACAATACATTATATTTGACTACTTATGCTAGTAGACGAATATTCAGTATTCGCCTTATGTGCGGCAATTAGACAAATAATTGGAACCAGGCTTTACATATAATTTTTTTAAATAAAATATGTATTTTGGTAAACATATAAAATGAAGTCTAAAAAGGCATTTAAACAACCGCGTACTCATTTTTTAAAAATACGGTCATTAATCGCTCTATATAAAACACCCCCACATTTAAATTGAACCATGTTTACCACGACTAAAAATATTTTATTTCTCACTAAATCCAAATACCCATCACCCATCTTTCATTTTCATTATTTATATTTTACCAACATTTTTGCCTTTTATTTTTGAATTATAACACGAGAGAACTAATTTTTTAAAAATACGGGCAATAATCACTCTATTTAAAACACCCCCGCATTTAAATTGAACAATGTTTACCATGACTAAAAATATTTGAAGAAGATCAAAAGAAAATTGATTGCCTAGTATTAACATNGCTCTATATAAAACACCCCCACATTTAAATTGAACCATGTTTACCACGACTAAAAATATTTGAAGAAGAACAAAAGAATATTGATGGCCTAGTATTAGCACTAAAGTAATTTCAGAGATAAGATGGGCAAGTCATAAACGTGCAGTAGGTTCGGTGTACATAAATTTGCCAGAAATTGTTAACTCATTACAGCGAATTACTGATAGAGAACTTCTCAATACAAAATTAAATATTATTTCAGAAGCACAAAAATTGCTTTTTCAAAAGGTGAATTTTAAATTTAGTTTTACAGAAAAATATACTTGGAAAAGCTAATATTTTATCAAACTAGTTACAAAATTCTAAAATTGATTTAATAACTGCACATGATATGGTTTCAACATGTTTTTTAGATATTTCATCTTTCAATAAAGAGGAACATTTTTAAAAAATAAAATGTAGTGCAAATGAATCGTGTGAACAGTTTGGAGGCAAAAATGACTTTGAGCAAGAACATATCAAATTTGGATATATTGAGCATTGAGCACAATATAGAACAAAAAAATAACTTTAATAATGTGATAAATACATTAACTTTACTACTGGAAAAGCGCAGAAAAATAANACAAAAAAATAACTTTAATAATGTGATAAATACTTGTAGAGTTCTATGCTTTTACAATATTTATTTTCTCCTACTTTTATTTTTGTATATTATGATAAAAATAAAACTTATTTCAGGTGTGAATTATTTTTGAATTGGATTAGAATTTAAAATAATATCCTATTGTGGAAATGAAAGCACCCATTGAAAACTAAAATTAAATAAATTTAGTGTAACTATAAATTTAAAAACTANATTTACTGTAACTATAAATTTAAAAACTAAAATAGATAATAAATATTTGAAAATCTACTTAAAATTAATTAAATATTTTTAGTAATTTTTTTAATTAAATATCAATTTGAATTTAACAAATAAAAGTAAGCTTCTACACAGTGGCAGGATCGTTTTTAACCTTCCCAACATGGTGGGGTGTTAGTTTGAAAGACTACCGACTACATGTTAGTTTACCAGTGTTCACTAAACATTTTTTTCAAAAAATAAAAAGGTCACCTAGGATAGAAAATTTGCCGACTGACTAATATGTCCGTAGGGGTGGACACCCCACACCATCCGCTGCACAGTGGCCACTCATAAGTAAGAAAGACAACAGTACTATAATCCTCAGTACGCCACTACTGTCGGATTTATGGTCCGATTCGNCCTCAGTACGCCACTACTGTCGGATTCATGGTCCGATTCATGGTCAAAAGAGATGAAGGTTATATGATCAGCATAAAAATTCATTTCAATTTCCACTTATATTAATATTGCATAAAATTCAATATTAGCCAGTGTTTTTATTAGTAAATATAAAATTATTAATAGTCATATTTTTTTAAATTATAGCACGAAAATATTATTTTAAAAAAGAGCAAGTAATTAGTTGACTTTTGAAAGTAAATAATAGTTATATAAAAACACTACCCCTTAAAGATGATTAAAACATAAGATGTTCTCGTCAAAATATTTTTTTAAATTTATCAATGACTTAAAATTTAGAATTAAGCGATTTTA